TCCATCCATCCATCCATCCATCCATCCATCCATCCATCCATCCATCCATCCATCCATCCATCCATCATCACCATCCATCCATCCATTCATCCATTTTTGTGAAGTTATTCCTTTCCATCCATCCATCCATTCTCATCATCATCATCTATCATCATCCATCCTCATTCATCCATTCATCCATCCATCCATCCATCATCATCATCATCATCATCATCCGTCCATCCATCTATCCATCCATTCATCCATATCATCATCATACATCCATCCATCTATCCATATCGTCATCATCATCATCATCATCATCATTCATCCATATCATCATCATCATCATCATCATCATCATCATCATCATCATCATCATCATCATTCATCATCATCATCATCATCCATCCATTCATCCATATCATCATCATCATCATCATCATCATCATCATCATCATCATCCATCCATTCATCCATATCATCATCATCATCCATCCATCCATCCATCCATCCATCCATCCATCCATCCATATCGTCATCATCATCATCATTCATCCATATCATCATCATCATCATCATCATCATCATCATCATCATCATCATCATCATCATCATCATCATCATCATCATCATCATTCATCCATATCATCATCATCATCATCATCATCATCATCATCTCCATCCATCCATCCATCCATCCATCCATCCATCCATCCATCCATCCATCCATCCATCCATCCATCCATCCATCCATCCATCCATTTTTGTGAAGTCCTTCCTTTTTTTCTACTAATTTTTTTTTTAAAGAAAAATATAAACTCTTAGTCTTATTACCAAGGCTTTCAATATTTATGAGATCTTTATTGCTCTTAGTAAAATCAAGGCCTAACATCTCTTTAAAAATCTTAAAAGCAAGTTATCTTTAGATCAGTGCCTAAAGCAAAGTCAGCCACATCCACACACAGCTAAAGTAAATACTTTTCATAAATATATACCTAATATGAACTGGTTACTTGATGTTCCAGACATGATTAAATAGATGTAAATTTGTTCAAAGCCGAGTGCAAAAACAACCATTTCATGATTGACTGTTTTATAAAAGACTTTTCTACTTTTTTTTATTTCTCGCATTATTTCACAAATACTTTGACATATTTAAAAATGTCAGAGATAAGACCGTCTGTAGAAACACTAGTTGACTCCATAATGTTTATTAAAAACAAGGCGCTGTGTGGAGTCTTTAGTGGGAATGCAATTTCTTCCACTCATCTGCTCGCCTTAGATCTCTTCACAACTTGTTCTTTTGAAAGAAATCCTTGTTCTTCTGAAAAAAGCAACTGGCTGTTGGCAGATTCACAAGAGTACCTCCAGAGCAAAACTTTAATTGGTCTCACAGGAGAATCTAAGTGATTGAAGAATGTCAAAGGCAATTAGAGCCAATAAAAAACAAAAAATACCCTACCCCTTTATTCAATAGCACTTAAACAGCACTTCATCAAAGTAAATACAATTGAAAACAACAGTATTAAGTGGACAAGCAAAATACAGACAAGCTAAAATAGAGAATAACAGCTACAAAAATTATGCAAACTAAAAGTAATTCATATATGAAACATTTAGAAGTAACTAAAAAAGGAGATAAAAAAATTAAATAAAATAGAAATAGGGTAATGCTCTGGGGATGTACCAAATGCCTCAGCAAACAGGTACATCCAAGGGCGGTTTATTCCAAAAATTTGGTGCTGCTACAGCTTGTTGCCGCTTGGATTTGGCGAAAACAACGAGCTGCTTGCTGACAGACTTTAGGGATCGGCTAGATATTAGGGAGTGCAGCATCTAAGAAAGATGTGGCAAATACTAATCTAACATCACTAATACTGATCTAACAGCAAATACTGAGAGCAATATAAAATGGATCCTAAAATGAAGGGATTTTTTAATTGGGGTTGATGCTCAAACATTTTGATCCAGTTAAAAGTCCTGCAGCATTTTGCACATCCTGCATTAACCTAAGAGATGCATCACTAACACCAAGATAAAGCTATATACTTTAATCCAGCATTTACAAACACATGGATCACTGTTTCAAAAAGCTGTATAGATATAAATGGTTTTACTTTAGCTAGATGCTTCAAATGAAAAAAGCTTGAATTGACAATCATCCAGATCTAGGTTTCAATTTTAGCATCATCCAACATTGAACAGCAAAACTTTCCAAGAAACATACTGATAGCTTGAATGAAATGAAAAACTGAAATATAGTGCAATTATCTGGGCCTATTTGTACTCTGCGACAAAACAGAACTTTTATTCAGTCAGGCTTGTTTTTGATCGGTTGGCTTACTTCGCACCTTTAATACAAGGTTTAGGTATTTCAAGGTAAGAAGGTGTTAGGAATCCAGTTTTGTGTGGGTTGTGTTTTCTCCCTCCACCACCAGGTGGCGCCTGGTTCTTGTTGGCCCTCTCACACACCTGCGGATGGTTGCCTCATTACCTGAGGACTCTTAAGCTGCTGACTGCCACTACCTAGACGCCAGAGTGTTTGCCAGTTTTGGGTACTCTAGCCAAGCTAAGTTTTGCTGAGTCAAACTGAGTTTTTGTCTACCTGAGCCTTAACCTTGTTTTTTTGTCTTTGCCTCTCGGCATGAAGTCATCCTGCAAACTGGATGTTTTGGACCTTCTCCCCCTGGAAGGATCGTCTTGAGCTTTAAACTGAGCTAGGGGATTCAACCTGGAGGTTTGGATCAACCTTTCCCCAAAGGATTGTTTGAGCTTCACACTGAGCAGGGGATTTATCTCCACAAGAACCGTTCAAGTACCAAAGGAAATCTAAGTGGCAGTCAGCTCCTCCGCTCCTCAGGAAAACACCTTAACCTGGGTAAACCCTGTCCGCCCTCCAACGAGCAAACCAATTTCTGGAACAACCCACACCGATTGGATTCAGAGAAAGACACATTTTCTGCAAACGTGAGTCCTGCTGCTCTTTCTGCCTTTTGCAAATCGAAGCTCAAATTTCCCACTGAGCCTAAATTAAACACAGAAACTTCCCCTTTCACTTTTCAGTCCCGGTTCGCGAGCGTTCAGAGCAACACTGGACCCATCTTCACTAGTTTTCAATAAACCTGTTAAATTCCCCTGGTTCTTCTGAGTGGTTTTCTGCATGTGGGTCAGATTATTGAATAAGATAATGACAGAAGGTATGAGATTTTAACATATAACACAGTGTCTCATATACAACACAGTGCAATGATCTCAGAGCCACAAAACTAAAATATGGTGATAAAATAACCCTGAAGTATAGTAGAAGACCAAGAATATTAGCTTGGTTTATTCCACTGCGTAAATCATGATTAAATGTGGGTGTGCAAGGTTGCTTATCCTCATTGTGGCCCTATGGGACTGTTAACCTTTCATAGTTGCATCCCGCCTCTCACTCAATGATCTGCTGGAGTTAA